AACCGGACAAGCCTTTGTTTATCCATTGTTGCAGAAATGCGACGGGTAAGTTCACCTAAAGCTTACCAAAATGTCAGTGTACAGCTGTATGACACCTGCAGACTGCAGACTATATTTAGGCCTAAAAATTAAGATATGAGAACATGGATGTTCCTGTGTTTTATTGCTACAATTTTGCAGATAGTCCATCAACTCAGCAAGTGAATAAATTACGACGCATTTCAAATAGTCATAAATTAAAACTGGCTTATAACATAAGTAAACCTGTTAAAACTCTTCATTGGGTCATTCCATTTTATATCCGCACCCTCCCCTCTGTTGAAGAGCTTTGAATTTTACCCCCTCAAAAAAGTTAACTTATCACAACCGCCGACTCACTTCCCCCTTCAGAGTACATAAAAGATCGAAGGTACTGACACAGTTGCTCCCTCAGAAACTGCCTTTAAAGACCTACCCCACCCTTTCAGATTTCCTTGACCCTCAATATGGGGGTGTGGATAAAAAATGGAACTGCCCAAATCAACAAAGTAGTAAACATCAAAGCACACATGGAGAACATATTAAAGGACTGGTCCCATTACACTCTGAAGACTTGCCTAACTGAAAAGATCTTTACCTGCTACAACACCCTCAGGCTGTAAACCAGGTCCTTCAGCGTACACTTTCTTGGCATCTCCTGCAGGTGATATGGGCACCATAAAGGGACTCTTGGGAATGTCTTCATCCCCACATGTGACATGAATAGCATAATTTCCTGGTGTAGTTGGGTAGTAACGCACATCACAGATGCCTGGCGATCGCTCTTGACAGTGAATTTCTGCCTGAGATGGCCCTTCAATGGCAAATCCTAGACTGTCGATTCCTGCTCCTTTGGTTTCCACTGTGAACTCACATGGCTTGCCTGCAGTACCTGTGAGGTAAGAGTTAAAAGGGTGCAAGCACTGTGAGACATCTATACATGACTTAGCTTAGCCTGAACACTGCTTCAACACCTATTTTGACTTTGAAAAGTACTACAAGTAAACCCCTATTAAGTGGCCACCCTTGGGAAAAATGAGAGGTGCCTTAATAGGGGTTGGTGTAACTTGAATACTTTTCACCGCCTAGTTAATTTCTTAGTGAACATGGAATCACTTCTGAGGCAATCATGATAAAGTGTTTGAATGTTTTTATCACTCATCACCTTCTATTTTGGACTCTTGTCTGTCATTACCTTTTCCAAAACAAAGCTAAATTATGTGTATTTAATTTTGGACCGTGGCCGTTTCATAGGGTTAAAGACAAAAAAACCTTCATCTTAACAACCAAAAGGTGACCACGGCTGGTTAATACGGGTTTTATTTGAAATATTTTAGAAACAATAATTTTGGGACTTTGATAACGGGCCACTTAATAGGTGGCTGCTTAATACAGGTTTGACTGTATTTTCATTCGCAAGAAAGTAATGTAAGAAAAAAACCAGTGGCCCCTGCCTCCACAAATCATTCCTAAACTTGCTCATGTGCCAAAGCAAAAAGCCAGAAATCAGTGCTTGAGTGCAAAACTAAAACAATAAAACCTGTCTAACAAACAGGAAAAACCTTCACCTCTCTCCAAACCAGGTCCATAAGCTTTGATTCTACTTGCATCAACAGCTGGAGCAACTTTGACATTGAAAGGACTGTTTGGAACCTGAACTGAACTCCATGTCACATTGACAACATACTTTCCAAATTTCCCAGGATAGTAGATACATGAATATGTCCCATCGCCGTTGTTCTTGATGTCAACTTTTTCTTCTCCTTGAGGGCCTTCCACAAACACATCCAGTTCACCATCACCTGCACCCTTGGCATCAACTGTAAATGGTGCTCGCTGTCCAGCCTTTAAACCAGTTGGCTCAACACCTGTAACATTAACAAACATACATGCATGTAAGCATGGCTTTTGCCATTATCAATTAACCCAGGGAAAAACCAGGTTTTAACTATAGATCCAAAGACCACATAAAGTATACTTGTCCATAATTTCGAAAGATATTTTTTGTGGTAGGGCAAAAGTCATACAAACAGACACAGAGGAAGTTTCAATGGGTTTCTCAAGCCTACAGCATTACTTTTCACTTTTAACAAACCAACAAATCATAATCATATAAAACAAAATAAAACCTCATAGGTGAACAGTCAGAAGTTTAGGGAAGGGCCGCTGGTCAAAACCCCTACAAAGTCAGCTAGATCTGATGTGACAAATTAATGAAAACTTCTTGCAATTTGGTAAGCCTCTAAACCATAGACCTGTTGAAACTTAGCCCCTATTAATATGGGTAACCTTTCTTTCATTAAAGCCTGTCTGGAACTTAGCAGAGATGGTCACTGAAGACAGGTTTCATTAATAGTTATTTGGCTACAAAAACAAAATGTTCAAGAGGTCACAAGTGTGCTTGGAGCTCATTACCAGAGAATACTAAGATAGACACTTTAAGATTGCTTACCTTGACCAAACACTCGCACTTTTGATGGGATGGGTTCAATTCGTGGTGGGCTCACCATGACATGGAAGGGGCTCTTACTAATTGGTTGTCCTCCAAACAACACCTTGATGGTGTGTTTTCCAGCGTTAACAGGCTGGTATTCAACAAAGTACTGCCCATCTTCCTGTGGTTCGATAATAATGTCCACATCTTCTCCACCACGTGGATCAATAACTTTGACAGACACCTGTCCTTCTCCAGCACCTTTTGTGAACACAGTGAAGTCTGTGTACTTGCCGGCTTGGATTCCTTCAGGCTGCAATCCAGGTCCTGTGGCGTAAGCCTGACTGGCATCAAGATCTTGACCAACTTCCACTCGGAATGGACTCTTGGGGATATGTCTCCCATTCCATTTTACATGCACATCATATTTTCCTGACACAGAAAATCATGCTACAGATTACCTTAAATAAACTTAAAATGTTAAATCTCCTTAACTACTAACTCCTTAGTCTCAGAACCGGTCAAAACCAGTCAGAGAGTGACATGGTGTGTTGTCAAAGCTTGTCAAAGCTAAGCTGTTTACTGTCAGCCTTGCCCATGTACAATTAACTAAGGAGTGTTGTGTTTTCTTGCCTTGAATTTTGTCCCAGTCCATCTACATCATGTATGGGGGGGTATCACAATTTAATGCCTTTATCAAAATTGGCCAGATTTGAGCCAAACAGTGATGTCACAAGCACATAAGGGCTATCCAGTGGTGAAAGGGCAAAGAGATATTTAAATTACCTTGTTTCTGTGGAAAGTATTGACATGCAAAGGTATGATCTTGATTGTCCCGTACAATTACTTCCTCTTCTGACTTTCCAGGTCCCCAGACAGAAACACTCAACTTTCCCATTCCAGCACCTTGAGTGAGCACAGTAAAATCGGCTGGCTTCTTGACAACAAGGCCTTTTGGTTCCACACCGGGTCCTTTGGCAGAACACTTTGCCGAGGGGTGGGTCCTTGGGCGCAGGGGAGCACCGGGTTTCAGTTTTGCCTCAGGAAAGTAGGAGACGTATGTCATGACACTCAGTTCGTCAACGTTAGGATTAGTGATTTCTTCTGGAGTGATAACCTGTAAGATTGTAAGAAAATTAAGTATATCAGTTATGTACAAGAGCATCAGTATACTTTAAAATTTTTAAAATGATATAATTATAACCTTGATATTCCAAAAATTTGGCCCTGGAGAGTCTTAACATCTCCCTTGCACTGTTTACCTTACTTTGAATCAAGCTTTAGGCAATTCAACCCCAACCCCCTATAATACCCACTTTAGTCAACAAACCCACTAAAAGCATGCTCTAGCCTTGTTAACTAAGGTCTAATATAACTTTATCAACATCCATTTAGTGCTATGGGTTTGCTCTATATCAACCTTGTACTATTCTAAGTTTTCAAGAAAATCTGGATATGTAACATAACTGCCACTTGATATCCTACATGCCACACTGAATCTACAGTTGCCACAGAAAGAAATCTTAAAATTTCATCTCTGTGCACTTCACTTCAATCTTTCTGCTCTTTTGGGGGTAATTTTTCTTGCATACTTATAGATATCCAATTTTCTCATTGATTGCATCAAATGCACACTAGAAATCTTTGACTGCTACCACTTTTATTCAACATACCAGTGCAATAAGCTTTTCTGCTGCAGTGTCACTCACACTCACTCATACAATATAATCCAACCCATTCCCTCCCCGAGACTGTAAAATGACTACCTGAGGAACACCAAGCCAGTCTTCAGCAGCTTGCATTGCTTGTCTTGCATTTTCAAGTCTATCGGCGGGGTCCAGATCCTCACACTCTGGGAAGAGGCCAGGAGCAACAGCATCCACCAGGCAAGCTACAGCTCGTCCATCATTCCAGTCTTTGTTGAAATTGTCCATTGGAACAGACTCTGGCATCTTGCTTTTCACCCATGCCAGAAGTGCTTGTTTAGGCGTCATCTTCTGTCCTTCATCATCGTCATCATCAAGATATGGCATGCTGATCTGGTACTTCAGAATCAATGTCCATATCAGACCCAGGATCAATTTAATATTTCCCTTGAAGATGTCACTAGCATCTAGCAATGATAAAGAAGCATTTAAAACCATATAAATAATATCAGCATCACTGAGATCAGCTATATTGCCAGTGTAAAATCTGAAACAAATCTTCCAACTGATGTTGCAAAAAAGTGCAGAGTACAGAGAATAAAGTTTCGATTCGAAATGGGCCTGTAAGCATCACTCCACAAAATAGAGATTTTTAAGAATCTGTCATTTGCAAAGCAAGAGGGTTTTTTCATCTCTTGGCTCACTTTTTCACAATATAGATTTTGAAGTTTGGAGTAAACTTTGCACAATTTTCCATTGTTTTTACTCCTCTTTCAGAAGATTTCTGACCATAGCACTCAATATATATCTTTTTGTCACTTGTCTTGGTTTGTTTCATTTCATTTTATACTGTTCCATTTTGCTTCATTTTGTTTTGCAACATAGAGTAAGTCAGTGGCAATACTAATAAAAGACAGTCAGCACTGTTGAAAGCTAGTCAACATAGACAAAAGCATTTTCAGCTGGTATACAGATCATGCAATATCACTTGAAGTACTATTCAACATGCATTCACATTGTTACACATTTTGTACCAGTCTGTTATATTCATCACAACCTGAACAAGGTTCTTTCTATCTTAAAAAAATAATCATCTTACGTTTTTAAAAATGTAATAGAAAAATAATTTTCCCTAATCAAACTAAGTGTTATACTTAAGCAAATATAATCTTCTCTGTTATGTCATAAAAATACCATCACGTCTGGCAATGCCTAATGTATTTGACAAGTGGTTTTTATTACATCCTCCCAGGCATTATTCCAGAGTAAATATCATAAAATATACTTAATTGAAACTCATATGCAAATTTTTTAATTCCAGAGAATAACACTAGGTGTAATTATTTCAGGTCATAATTACATAAATACCATCACGTCTGAATAGTCAAGGGCATAATATAACTTCATCATAGAGGTCACTTTGGTTTCAAAAAGAGACTGCTGTCTTACAGAGAATATTATCATGCAACAATATTTTTATCAGTTCTTTGGCAAGTTGTCTTACTTGTAGCTGAGAGTGCAGATAATTAAAACAGCTACTAGATACAATGGAATGAAAACTATGTCCTGTCCTTAACTAGATTGGGGGGCTTATTGTCTGGAGATTCATGCCCTCCAGCTTCACATTAAAGGTCTCAACATCACAATTAATTCAAGCAATTATCTTGCTGATCATACCAGATTAGTTCTAGTTGTTTGGATGCTGAAGAATTATTCCCACTGGCAGCAAAGATTGGTCTTTTAATTATGTCAGACCAATGTGTTCTATTCTTTTTTATGATTTTATGAGAAGCAAAGGGCAATAATATAAGGTATTATTAATCATGAATAAATGCCATTTGTTTGCTCAATTTGCATATAGTTGGACAACAGATGATGTAAACATCATACACTTATAGCCTTCAACCATGACATATATACCAGTAATTTCCTTTAACCTGCATTGAGCTTTTTCTTCTTTTTCTTAAGTTTTTTTTTTTTTTTGATAATGTGAACCAGTTGTCAAAACAAAAGTTAAATTCAGATATTTAGGGGCTTAACATAAAAAATGGATTATAATGTTTGAGCAAAAGAGTGCAAGGGGTCATTTATAATTCATATTTTAAATTAGGTGTCATGATACAGCATAAGTATTCTTTGTTAGTATACTCTTACTCAAGTTCAATTAGGATGAAATTTTTAACAAAACAAAAATGGCATTGATCAACAAAATTTCTCTAAATATGTGAGGCTTGCCAGGAATGGGTGAGTAAGTAAGTAAGCAAGTAGGTAAGTGACTATATTTTATGCGGGTGACACATAACAGTGACTAACATTACTGATGAACTTGTGGACCTCTAAAAAATACAAAAATACAAATAATAAAAACTACATTAGCAATAGATATTATTTACAATAGAAATAAAAATAAAAATATTTCCAGAATTTGATAAAGGGACAAATCAATTTAAAATGAAAAGCATGCAAAAACATCTATCTATTGTCATTAATTTATATCCAACGATCCCTTTGCCTTCTGAGAATTGAGCACTTGTTAGCATGCTCACAAGTGAGCATGTTAACTTTTATGCCGCTAAAATGTTTTTTTAAAGCAATTACCAATTGGACCACCCTGAAAACCAACGCTAGCTGATAGATTGCTTTCAATATATTAAAATTCAGCTTGATGGTGAGGCCTGGAGGACACAAACAAAAGAAATGAATAAACATGGTCATTCAATTTCCTTTGGTTGTGTCCTTTAAGCCTCACTGCCAAGCGGAATTTTAATACATCAAAAGTGGTCTATTGGAGGCCTCCTCTTAAAATATTAATTTATTATTATAAGAAGTTCTTATTGTGACTTGCAAAATTTACTTCAAGTTCATTAACACACAAACAAGATCATTTGTTTGACATTTTGTGGTCCAAAATTTTAGAGCCTGCTCAAAATTTTTTAGAACCAAACTTTAAACAAGTTAACTCTTCAAATCAGTGTTGCTAGAAATACATATTTTTAATGAAGGTGGCCAAAGTTTCTCATCTGGCAGTATTTAATATTAACAAAAACTTAAAGTAGTTAAAATTCAAAATAGGAGCTGCAAAAATAAGATCAGGTAATTCATATTTTTTCCTGGGTTCCTACATTAAAACCAAAGTTTACAAAGTTATAATTTGAGTTCAGGTTCACAAAGTCAGGGGCAATTCAAGAATGCGTCACCATTTGTGTTGCTACATAAAGTGATAATTGCAGCTATGGCAAGTGAAAACGAATTAATAATGCAGCAATTATTTTTTTGAAGCAACAAATACTGTTATGGTTCAGAGTGCCGACAGCACAATATAATATGGGTAATATATAATGTACAGCAATTTAATACAGGACTCAATCTCAGTTCCAAATGCACTGGGAACAAGTCTAGTTAGCAAGCTAATAGCACCCCAGTTAGCTTACATTAATTAATCCTAAACATCGTCTTGAGAGTCTCTGATCTTCTAAACAGCACTTTGTAGCCTAAATAGCAAGCTGGTAAGCCTAACTAACCACCCTGTTAGCCTAAATAGCACTAAAAAGCAAATGGTCTGCTCTTTAGTGATGGTTAGCTTAACACGATGATGATATATTCATAAAATTTCCAAACATGTAGTGGTCACAAGTCTCGTTGCTGATCTAATCATCCTGGGTTTCACACTGGACCAGTGCTGTTAGCATTCTTTTTACATTGTTGTTTAAAAGTGGTTCCTGTATAATTTTTAAGCCACACATGACATATTGTGTTCATATGGGTTAGGGTTAGTTAAGTTTTCGGATATCCAAAATTTTTATTTGCCACACGAAAATGGAAATTAAATCAGCGACCAACATTATGGTTTCTTCTGCAGGAAGGAAGTTCACAATTTTGTGGGTTTGTATAATATATTGTTGAACAAAGCTTCTACTGATATTCAACATTAATTAGAAACTGACATAATTTTGATGCTGGTTAATCTCCATAATTTAATAACCTTTCAATTCCATCAGTGCTCTGGTGTATCAATACCATACTACGATGGTGTGACAATATTGGGGTACTTGCAACCCCACAAAAAATATTGCATAGTGTTGTATTGCTTGCCAAAATTTTCAGGGAGTTAAACTCTCATTAATGAAACATCTACAAGAAAGTTGTAGCATGCCAGTTTTTTTTTCCCAAACAAGTTAAATCCAACATTCAACCAAACTGTTGTGTTTCAAGGAGTGTAATCTGATACTGTTTTAATTACATGCAGAAAGTAGCATGTGTTTTCCTGACAAACAAAGTTGACCCAAGTTTGGCAGCATACGTTTCTGCAAAGCCATTCATATGAAGCTGCAATCTTACTTCAGGTCAAAATACATCGAACCGGTCTGAGATTCCATTTAGGTTTGCAAACAGATTACTGACCAAGGTAATTGGCTTTTTATTGTGTTTAGAGATATCTTGAAAGATCATTTATTAAATTTCTGTCAAAAGCTTTTTGATTGTTACTTTTATGTTAATATTAAATACCAAAGTCATGAAACAAGAAGTAACTGTTTAAACAACTCGTGGGTAAAAAATAAAGTTTATCATTGATTATCCACTCTTCAATAAACAGGATTTAGTGGTCATTGACTGAATAATTCCGAGATTCACTAGAAAATTTTATGATTATACGCATGACTTAACATGTCCCCTCAATTTAAAATTCCACAATGCTTGAGTGAAGGTGAACTCCCAAAGAGAAGGAGTATATTTGTCTAAGCGTTGGCAGTGGAAAATTTGCCTCATACTTATGATTACTTAAGCTGGTTTTGATATTAAATCCTCATTGAAATCTTGGAAATGAGTAGAATTTTAATTTAGAAGTCTTCACACTTAAAAAATCTCATTTGTTTACACGGCTTTCATATAATCGAGTAAAGGAACAATCGGCTTCAAACGTTTTGATTGTAGAAACTTGACACGGGTTAAACTTCACAAGTCGTATCTTAAATCAGGGAATGTTTTTTTAAGCTAACTAGGTTAAAATAGACAGAACCTCGACGAATCGTTTGTTTGCTATTTTTTTGGTATTCCATGATTTTGTGACAGTTTAAGTAGATTTGTACACTGCAGGAGAATTCAAGTCAAAATTATAACAAGCCATGGTTAGCGTGTGGAACACACAAAGAATACTTGATCACGAACAAGAGTACAAGATGGAAACTTGTCGATATCTGGCACGCAATTTAGAACAGTAACACAAACTTTGGGTAGTCTGGACACAGAACAGTCGAGAAATTCTCGAGTTCATACGTCAGCCGGATAATAATTCTAATTGTTGCTACGTTCACAGAAAAATTTGCGTGAGAGGGTTGGGTTGACGCCCATCAAACATGACAGAAAGTTTTGGCAAATTTACTAGCTTAAACAAATTTACTTCCTAACATCCTTCATCTTAAATTACTCGGTGAATACTTCTCACGTCTGCGGACAAACAAATGAACGAAACGGCTGATACAGAACGCTCGGTTAGACAACAGCAAATTTCAGCACAATCAAACATTGCTAGTCATGTCTGAGGAGAACAAATGACTAAATATGGTAGTATCAATAGGTAACGCAGAATTCGCTCCTATTTACACCCAAAGTAACTTCTAACAGCTTCACTGTTTCTAGTTTGAATAAGATACCACGAATATCGGCTAGGAAATATTGACTCTGGTAAACATGTTTGTCTAAAGCAGCGATTGAAAAGCTTCTTACTAAAAATAGCAAGAAATCTACACACAGACGAGCGAAAGTAACACTAGCGGTGGGTCATAAAAATTTTATAATAATTCGCGGAATGGAGTGCTGCATTTATTTACGAGATATAATTACGAAGCGTGGTTTGGTGCCGTTATGAGAGAATTATCAAACGCAAGGTTTTCACTCACCGATATTCACCAACCGAATGTTCTCGCTTTCGATGAACTTGAGTGCGATAGAAATATTCTCCAATTTCTGCGGTCTAAACGAAGGCTTCTTGTTGTATCTCGTTATTTTCTTGTGCGAAAGGACTTGTAGCAGAGCTATGAGCTTTAATCCGTCGACAAGGTCTGTTTCCAAATTGTAAATGTACTTGTTCACGCATTTTAGATGCTCGTTGCACCATCTTGTGAAGGTGTTCTGTTGAATCTTTTTCCACTCGGCGTCCGCCGAAGTTGGATCTGTGTCCGGCATTCTCGTGTCGACCTACAGTGGCAAGAAAAGTGACAGCCCGTAAGGGACAAACAAGAGGTAAGTCGACAGGTCGCTATGTAGCAGAAAGCTTCGCAAAAAACCGCCCTTGAACCGACCACTAGACGTACAGATACGGCAAGGCTAGCTGTCTTAAGTAGCACTACGCGCGACCAATCAAAGGTTGTTTGAATAATTCATGTTTATACTTCATAAATAAGCTGACAGACGCAGTCAAATATCAAAGGTGAGATTCTTACGTCCATTTTTGTTGACTTGAACCCTGCAGACGGCCGTTCTCGTGCACAGAATAAGCTTTAAATTGTACAGAACCAGTGTCCTGTACTTTTGTACGGTGCACTGCTTCACCGCAGGAAGCTTTACGCTCATAAAATGTCGCAAAATTAGGGATCTGCGTTCCTATAGGACATTCTTATCTCGAAAAAATGCCACGAAAACCAATGTAAATCTACGTAAAGGAAAGGCGTGTTATTTGTCACAAACATTGAATACCAGCGCCATATGATCCCATTTATCCTCGGGGAAAGTTTTTTGTCTGGGACAGTTGTCACGCAATTAAGCTCTTAGTTGGCTTACCAACTTTCTGCTATCACTGGGCAACATTTCATAGCCTTCTCACTTCGTTTTTCCCGTGTTATTTTCACCCTGCTGTAACAAAAACAGTCTTGTCAACAAACACACGGTCTGTTTATCTGTGTTGCCTCAACGCCATTCAAAGTCTATCAACAGGCACATCGTGACCGGTCACTGCTACTGTTACAAAACACTGTCCTCTCGACAGCTCTTTCATCTTTTGCAAAATCAAAACAAACACAAATAACAACTACTGTGCACAGAAAGGAACATTTTAGTCATTTCGACAGAAAGCTTCTCTACACAAGACAACAAATTATGAAAATGTCACGTTTAGTAACTGCAGCTTCCGCTTACGTTATTTCTCTTTTGTTCTATCGTTCATGCTAAATTGAAAAGTTTTTCCACACAAACAGCGTAGACTTGAACTAGACTGAAATCATCAAGTAATAAAAAAATATAATGAATATCGTTAATTGAAAACATATTTATCTTTGCTTTTATATCGTGACCTCAGAGAGAAACAGAGTAAAATAGATGTATTACGTGACAAGAATGGCCTTTCTTTGAACCGGTGTCACGCGAGCGTTGCATAATCTGCAAACGGCTCTGTATCGATCGTCACAATTTTAAGAAAACTTTAAACCTGGCGTGGAATGAAACTAATTTCAATCATGCAAGTGTTAATATCTGGAATGAGGGAAAGGAAAGGATTTTTGTTAGCTATTTTCTGGTTATTTTGAGACCGGGTTTTATTTAAGAACGGCAATACCTTCGTATTTTCCGGATATTTGAAAATCGGTTTTTTTTGTCCTGTTCAATACTGGCATGGCGAATTTCATTTGTGTTGTTTGCATGAAGAACGTTTGATAAGCACCAAACATAATATGAAAGCGAAAATGGCAAAGAAAAAGTTTCCGAATATATATTTATTTTTAGAATTTTTTGTGCATATTTATTTATTTATTAGAATTAACAAAAAACACTGGGCAGCGTTTCATTTCCGGGTCTGAGGTCAAGAGATGCACGTAGAACTCACTCGAAGCCATTTAAAATGCAAACGTAATAGAATTAGGCAGAAAATTTCCCGTATATATTTCCGTAGTACTCATTTTGCATTTCAAATTGTTTCTTGAACTTTTAAGAAACTTTACAGCCATACATGAAGACAAAGTCAGAGATCGCCAATTTATACTGCCATTCTGTTCGCGAAAAATCTGCCAAAATTATTGCTTTTTCCGAACCCAGAACTACCACTCAACACTCGGAATCAAACAGATGTTGGAAATTCAAGTTTATCTTTCTGCTGTACCGTATACAAATTAAACATCCCGACCTCTGTGACCCTGATGAAAACGCTACGAGAAAAAATGTGAAATATGCTCACAGCCGGCCCCACCTTTGTTATTACGGTCAGGGGCGTTCTTTTCCGATCCGTTAAATAATCGAACGAATTCTCTAGAATCTCTAGGAATGACTGGTCACTATATTGCTCTTTTACGGTAACTCGAATGATTTTGCGGAAAAGAGGCGAATAGTGACGAGAAATACCGCAAATATTTGACAAACTGGTACAGACTGGTTGGGTAAATAAATATCGGACTGATAAAAGTATAAGGTTAACGACAGAGAACGATAAATCTGATAACAGTGACAGGCTCAGAAAAAATGCTAATAAACTGGTTGTGTGGTTATATTGGTGTGAATTATATAACGTGCCTAATGTGAATTCGATTCACTTTTAAAAACAATCGCAGTGTTTTTCCTACGACAAACTTAAACTTGGTCCATTTAGAAAGTATTGTCCTCATAAGGTGATATTGTTCAATTTTTTTATTTTTTTATTGAGGTCCTTTCCTGTTATGAAAAGGCGACAGGCGACAAGCGACATCTTCGGCCCCACCGATCACGCAGGTTGCACATCTCAAATGAGAATAAATGTTAAATGCAACAATGACAAGACAATAAAAAATTTAAAACGGGGTACAGCCCCAAAATTTGTTAATTCAGTTGTTGATGGTCCCTCCCGTCCCCCGATACGTTCTCCGCTTCCCTCCCTCCTCGACCTCGTAGCCTTCGTCCTAGACGCTACCTTCCGCGGGTTACTAGACGGTTATTTACGGGTAAATTTCCGTCTGCGAGGCAGGCTTCCTCCTCCCCGTATTAGTGTTTCTCCTTTGAAACATCGCTACTAGCTGTGCTTACAGCGATGGAGCATTTTTCAGTGATGGGACATCTCCTTGCAGGGCTCTGTGGGTGGCACTTGATTTGGGAATAAGGGGTCATATATCGACTCGCGCTTTTATCCCTATACTTGAAAGACCTCCAAGTATAAACAAACAGGGATCGTGCTGGTTTCGAAAGGAAATCAATTTTGCAGTCAGTGTGCCGTTGACACTGATGCGAAAATAAAGGTAATAAAGGAAATTGTCTCGACCAAGAGAAAATGAGTAAATAAATATTTTCTGTAAAACAATCGACACGGTACGATTTTTAAAAGGAATGATCGTATAATATCCAGGAAAGCTACATGAGGCCACGCTGGTAGGAATTTAAAAATATTGGTCTAAAAGAAAGGAGGAAATCCGATGAGAAAGGAAAGGAAAAACAACAAACTCGAATAAGTGAAAGAAGAGTGCTTTGAATCACAAAAAGCTCTCGAAGCTGAGTGTTAATTTTTTTTTGATTTTGCAAATTCGTTTCTCATGCATTAAAGTAATCAAGTACTCACCGGCAGTATGCATTTCAATCAGTTGTCTAAACATAAGGCAATAAGATGTGAATCAATTTAACACGTGCCTTCCATCAATATCAGTCGGTTACCTGACGTTTTACAAGTCTTTTCCTTGATACAAACTCAGTGCTTTAGAGACATTTAACGTGCAATAACTGCGGCCATTTGTTGTACACTGATAATCCGACCGGCGAACAACCTCTCGACAAAGTTATTAAAATTTACCAGATCAGTTTGCTATTAACCTTTCAATCCTAGTCAAAATAGGAATTCTCTTTAATGATCACGAGACAATTGCTATAATGTTAGTCCTAAGAATATCAATGGGGATCAACACAGTGTAAACACACAGGGTCTTTGTGTTCGTCACGCGCTCAAGAGGCTAGACAATATTCAGTTGCAGGGGCGGATTTAGTGGGTGGGAGGGGGAGAGATTTGCCACCACTCCACCCCACTCTGGTCAGGTATCTCATCGTAATTTCTACTCAGTGTTGCATTGTTAGTATTTCTGGCGTAACAGTTTCAAATTGGATTATGCAACCCCAATATACCAGCCACAACGGCCCAACCACCTCCCCCCCATGAAAAATCTCGGATCCGCCCATGAATGGTCAACTACATGCTGATGTTTGTCATGTGATTGGTCTGTATAACAGCCTGACAGAGAGGAATCAGTTATACTGACGTAAGAGGAAATAGGTATTGATCAGTGCACAGAGTGCGGGAAAAGATTTCGTTTGGT